CCAGCATAGCAAAAAAGCATTGTAAGAGTATTGTTGAAGTTTTGGTTATGACAAGTTCTATGCTGGTGAGGAAAATGCCTGAATAGGGCTCCATTCCAGGAACTGTACTGACATATTTTCAGAGACTGCTAGGAGCAGCAGGTTGTCTCAGAGAGAACAGAGCAGGTGAGGAGTGCTGGGAACAGGTGTACCAAACACAGTATTCAGTAGTGAGCCACAACTGATGTCTTGTGTCAGTTTTACACACTCACTTTGGGGTTTACCTTAATTGTGTCAACCTGACTGGCTTGGGAGTCACAAACGGGAGTAGTAAAACACATGTATAAGTGTGTCTGGGTGGGTCATAAGTACCCTGGGTTCTATCTCTGATCCCTAGCCCTTCTTTTCTGGCACTGTTTCTCTGCTCTGCCTCTTGGCCACCATGAACTAAATTCCACAGAGCTCTTTCACTATATTTCTGCCTTGGAGCCAGCTGACTATGAATTGTATTCCTAAAATTGTGAGCCAGATTAAACCTCTCCTTTAAATGATGGGTGTTGAGTATTGTGCCCAGACACTGGAAGGCTGATTAATACACTTACTTGCGTTTTTGTGGCTAAAAAATTATGAAGTATTTGTCTTTTCTCTTGTGAAGCAATGCTGGTAATATATGATAATGGCATAGGCTTGGGGCTAACATTTGCTGTGCGCCCAGCACTGGGCACTCGCACTCTGCCTTTATGAACCAGTACGTCCCAGTAGTTAAGTGTTCAGGCTCTGGAATCAATTTCTTCATTTATAAAATGGGACTAATGGTGATGCACAGTTCATAGGTAAAGTGTAAGGATTAAATGATAAAGTGCGCGTGGTTTAGCACCATGCATAGCTAGCTCACCATGAATTTAAATAACTGTTGACTTTGAGTGTGCCTCGACACTGAGATTGGCTTTTGGTTAATTGAAATAGTTGAGCTCACCTTGGACCTGTGAAATGAAATGACGATCAAGCCTATGCCTGCATTTTGCATACTGACCTTCTCTGATGTAAAGCACAGAGAAGTGAGGAGTACAGAGGGCTGTGGACTGGTGATCAAATGCTCATTTCTCAGGCAGGGAAGCCAAGGGCTAGGGGAGAGGTCAGTGCCAGATGCTGGTCTAATACTGACCCTTCTCCTTGCCAGGCTTCTCTGTCACCTCCACTGAACACCCTGGGGAAGTAGACAGGGAGCTCAAAACTCAATAATTACCTCATTTCCCTGCTCTGCTTCTTGGCCACCATGAACTAAGTTCCACTGAGCCCTTCTATCATAATGTGTCCTTGTGGATTTTATGGGGCCATATAATGGTGTGCTGTGTACTTTTATGAGTATTTATTTTACAATGTCTACTGGAACCATTAACACTTTCATTAGCAAGATTCAAGGGCTGTGAATCTTGGGTTCTCCACTAAGATCAGTTTTGTCTGTAAATTTTAAATAGAAGCTTGTGAAAACATTTCACATTCATCCCAAAGCAAGCAATTGTTCTCAATGTCTTGAAAATCCAGATGGAATCAGGAATTCACAATCAACTATTTATCCTTTCAACTCTGTGTGGAGTGGAAGAAAACAAGTGGCGATTACTAGACCAGTCAGCCTGCAATATTTATTGCTTCTCCTTGAAACCTGTTTTGCCTCAGTAAAGCTGATCTCTAAGTGACCTCATGGCTTCTGAGATTGCACTTTCATTTTTTATTCCATAATTTTGGGCAGGTGGGAGCTTAGGCATGGGTTCCCATAATAGATAACAGTATAATTTCTAGTTCCTTTGAAAAATGTGGCTATACAATATATTTATATACTTGATGCAATTAGGGTACTGCCTTTAATGTACTTTAAAATCTGTGGTAAAGCCTCAAAGTTGTTTATCAGATTTTTTTGAAAACAGTGTTGTTAGCTCAAATTGTTAAAAGAATTATTGTGCTTGAATAGTGATGATTCACAAGAAATGATTAGGTAGAGACACCAGTATCTTAAAGCTTATTTCTGTCTGGGTAAGATGAGGACATGGCTGGTTTATTTTCTCAGTGATGAGGCAGGTTATGGAGCTTGCCTGATTCAAATAAATGTACTGCTCGCACATCTACTGATGTCCCAATGATGTGCAAACAAATGTCATAAACACTCTGAAAAGAGATGCAAAAATGAATTGAATCTTACTTGTATTTTATTTTTCTTAGTTCTCTGTGAATCTTGCTGTTGTAGATGGAATCTGTCCTCCTCCTCAACTCATGGCCCATTTATCATCACTAGTGTGTGCCAGACATTTCTCTTCTTTATTTATTTTTTCTCTTTTATTCCTTCACCACTCTCCTATTCCCTCCTCCCCATAGGCAACTGTGTATTGCACTTGATGTCTATCTTTTTGCTGGTCTGTGTTTTTACAAAATGTTTACTGTTTTGCCAAGTGTATGTAAATGGTATTGTGTTATATAATTTCATCCTATTTCTCAGTAAACAATATGTTGTTAAAACTTACTCGTGTCGCTATGTTTAAATCTAACTGTTATTTTTAATTGCTGCATAATGTTTCATTCAGATTTTATTTGTGTGAGATGCATAAGCTATTTGGAGGAAGAGGTCCATCTGAACTTCAGGAGTATAATTCTGTTGATTATGAGGAGAACAGACTGGAGTCAGGGTGGGAAGTGGCAGTGAGGAGGCAATTTTAATAGGAATGAAAGTTGACCCCGGCCTTATCCTGGGAATACAAAAGAGGGGATATGTGTTCTACCAATTTAGAGGAAGGTGATACATTTTGACTACTACAGTGGATGGCCTTGATGTTTAACAAGACATGTAGAATGGCTGAAAGGGGGCAAAGAGTCAAAGGTAATGTTAACACTTAAGCCTGAGGCAAGAGGTGGTTTTGAATTGTAATGATTGAGTGAGTGCAACAGAAGGTACAAGTTGGGTAGGGAAAAGGAGGGGAAAGAAGATGCTGTCCAACCTAAACAGTCCTTATTTACTTTTTCATTCAACCAATGTCTATTGAGTACTTATTGTGCACCTAGTATTATCTATCTGGTATTTAACTAGCCTGCCAGGAAAACTGGACATGGGTGCGATGTATAGAGTTCTCTACCTTCACTGAGGGAAGGAGACAGACATTGACAAATGATCATGAAAATCAAAGCATCATCACCTATTATAATAAGGACTCTGGAAAGATGAATTTCCAAGATTTAGGTAAGAAGTCAGAGGCATGTTCCATGGGCCATAGCATTGCACCTAAACCCCGGATTTGTAGGCAATACCCAGGTGAAGGTGAGGGGAAGTAATTCCACACACAGGAGTAGCACAAACCAAGGTTTTGACATGGAGAACTTAGCACATTGGAGATGCCCAAGCTTCACGGGCAGACCCTACAGAATCTTTTGGGTCATATTCAGCTTTGGAACCTCATTTTTTGATGGATAAAAAGTGTTATGGTTGGCTGAGTGGTTCAAAGTACTACTGGGTGAAAATGGGGTATTAGAGAAGCAGCAGGGAAGGGTGGGGAGGTGTAGGAAGAGCTTTTCTGGGGAGCAGGTATTTAGACAAGGGTGTATCAATTAGGGTTTCCTAGAGGAACAGGTTTTATAAATATACATATATGGAGAGAGAAGAGAGGGAGAGGGAGGGAAGGAGGGAGGGTGAGGGAGAAAGGGGGGGAAGATTTGCAAGGTAAACATACAATGGCTGCCTGCAGAGTCAGATGTGGAAAAATGCAAAAGGCTATGTGCACGCTGGAGAGCCAGAGGATCCAGTCAAAAGTTGGAGGCCTAGATCTCACTGTAGAGTCCTATGTGAGACCATATCTGGAAACTGAAGGGTCTGAACTGAAAGACTAAGGACTCTGTTCTTAAAACCAGAGATGAATGTTCAAAGGCAATAGCAAAGACTAGAGCTCCCCCAGTGAAACAGAAGCAAGAATTTCTTCTTTTCCTTTTTATTCCATCCAGGCTACAAGCCTATTGGTTGGTGCCATCCACATCCTGGGAGGGTCCTCCATCTTCAATAAGTCAATTACCCCCACATAATCAGAACTGTTCTAGACAAATACGCCAGGCATTATTTGTTCAAGTTGATACCACAATTAAATACTACAGAGGGGCAGCAAAATAAAGTAGTGAGGAAAGCTCCAGTGTGGGGAATGAATTTAAGGACAAGCAAGGCAGAAAAATAAAATTCACACCTTCTCAGGGATTGTGGGCCAAGCTACAGAGTCTGGATCATTCACTAATAGGAAGTCATTGGAGGGCTATGGGCAGTGCATAATCCTATCTAATGTGGTAGGTTAGAAGCCTGATTTAAAATGCTATGTGTAGCACAGATTGGGAGTATACAGGGAAATATTCTGGAAATGTTATTTTTTCAAGTGAGGGGTGAGATGCTTGGATAAGGGAGTGGAAGGAGAGGTGAGGGGAAGGAGATTGATTGGAGAAGTTTAAGGTCATATTAATTGGGCTTGATGATGGATTGGAGGGGTGCAAGGGACTCTGTGTCAGGGGTGGTGGGCTGAGCTCCACGGCCTGTCAGATATGCAAAAGCAGGCATCCTGGCTCACTTGAATAAGATATTCCAATGTGTAGGAAGTGGTTTGGAGGCAGTGAGATAAATTTTAGAATCCTTGTGCTGTGAGGAAAGGGAGACCATAAAAACAAGTGAATCATCAAGGAAGATTGCGTAGGGACATAAATTGGAAAATGCCTATTTGGAAAATAAATTTTTATTGGAGATTTAAAATTTTGTTATTCATGTTGATACTTTAGAAAGGCAGTAGCAAGCAAAGAAAATATAACATCATCCCATGTTCCCATCATCATGACTATATTGGTCATATCTGCTATGTCAAAAAATAAATAAATAAAATATTACAACACTATGCCCTCCCCTAACTGCCAACAGTCTCATGAGTTCAGGGTAGCAGGATACTTTCTCGATTCAATTTTCAGATACACCACTGATTCATTTTTTTCTCTGTTTTCCCTCCCTGATCCAGGCAGGTTTCAGACCCCATCCTTATGCTCCTCTGGAGACAGGACTCTGATATTTTTGAGGTCAGAGCTGTCTGAAGATGGGGAAAGTGGAGATAAAGTGGGTTTCCCACTGGTGGAAGAGAGTTGGTTCCCTGAACGAGGTATGTGGCCCTGTGGTATGAAGCGGTTTGCTTCTCCCTACCCTGGCAGCACTCTGAATGTTGGAGGACCTCCAAGTGAGCAGCCTAAGGGGCCTGTGCTGCCAGCCTTGCAGAATTTCCCCAGCAAAACATTGGTAAGGAAGGAGAAGGGCCATGGAAGTCTCCAAGGTGAGTCCGTGAGATTCTCAGTGGTAATCCAGGCTACACCAACGTCCTGTTCACAAAATGCCTTTCCCTGTGTCCAAGCCCTGTGTCCTACTTTGGACCTGTGCATAGGCTCTCAGAGCGAAGAAGGGTACAGAATCCATGGGAATGAATGAGGCTGAATATCTCAGCAATACAGCAGAATGAGACCTCAGAATTAAGATCAAGTTGATTAATAGAAAATTAAGAAATAAAATAATCCTTGAATACTTGAATCTAAGGATAGAAATTCAGATCCAGTTTAGGTGTATGTAATGAGAGGAAATCATGATGAAGGCTGAATTGAAGGAACTGAATATAAATAACAAGAATCAGAAACTTCTAGGAAGAGACAGCTGAAATGGAGGGAGTAGTCCGCTGTGCTCTCTGTGGCGTAAAGATTACAATTAAGGAAGGCAATGGGCCCTATAGGGATGGGAAATCTTTGAGATGACAGGGAGTGTATGGTAAGGGACTGAGATAAGAATGAGAAGTGAAACTGGAGTAGATGCCACTCTAGAAGCTTATTAGTGAAGAGGAAGGAATAGGATTTTTTTGAAGATATTTTATTTAGGGCTAGAAGACATGTGAGGATATGTCCTGAAATAAAGAGAGAAAAATGGAGAGTGTGAATAAGAAAGAGGAAGTAACTGACATAAGGGTATGCCTGCGCTATGGTCACCAGGATTCACTAAAGAGTGACTAGCCCTGTGGGGAGACAGGCAGCTCCTCTGATCCCACAGGAGGGATTATTGCATAGATGCTGAAAGAAGGAGTCTAGAAGTATAGAGGAGGACACTAGGGAAGTACACAGTGGATGGCCTTGATCTCAGCAAGGCACATAGTGAGACCTGTGTCTTCCCTTAAAGAACTTGGGAATAAGAACAATGTTTTAGAATCAGGAAAGAGAAGAAGGCAATAAGGAATCTTCAAGGTTGAATAATAGTACAATAATAATGAAGTCTGCAGCCCATAGGACTGCATCCCATATGACAGGTGCTGTTCTCAGCCTACCATTTAATAATGTGTATAATTCATATAATTCTCAGACATTGTCATCACATATTGATGTGGGACTCAAGACTCTGCAAAGTTAAATAACATAGCCTCACTAAAAAATACAACCTTTTATGGTCATGTACCATGGACATAAGAGTCAAGCTGTTAACCAGAGACTATGGGAAAATCAGTCCATTCCTACCACCTGTCACGATGCAGGATCTGAGGCTGAGGTGAAGGGGCCATATTATATGAATTGGGGATGAAAAGGCTTTGGAATTTCCAGATATTGTGATCTCAAGACATCTGGATGAAGGCTTGAGTGTGATGGATGCGGAGTCTCTGACCAGGTATTCATAGGAGTCCTGATAGTATGTCTCAATAGAGAATATAAAGACGTGAAAGAACTGGAGACCCAGGAAAAGAGGGCTTTCAGAGTTCATCTGTGTAGAGGTGGAACCTTAAGCCCTGAGGGTGATGACTCGCTGAGGAAGAAGAGAGTTAAAAGCATGGAAAAGAAAAAAAATATGAGAAAATGAAAAAATGGAAACGAAGTATTTGTAAGGGAAGGGAGGAGAGGGGAAGGGAGAGTGCGGGTAAGGGGAGAAAATGAGAACCAAGGCCTGTCATGTAAAGGTACAAGATCCCAATGATGTATGCAATTGTACTGCATACCTAAAAAGTACTGATAAACTCAATGAGAAAAAAAAAAGAAGTGTGGGGTCCGAGTGAGACCAACTTTGGAAAAAATCTATTACTGAGTAGTCAGTAAAAGAAGGAGAAACTTGCCAAGGATACATTGAAGAAGGTGCTGAGAAACCTAGGAATAGAGCAGTGGTGTCTCACTAACACAAAGGGTGGAGGCCAATGGGGTCAGTATAGATGACCTATGCAGGGAGTAGGGCTGAAACATGCCCACTGGACTTGGGATTTTGGTGACATAAGGAAGAACTGTTTAAGGCAAGTGCTAGGGTCTAAAGCCAGCCTGTTGTGAGAAGACTGAGGAACTGCAAACAGGAGTAGGAAGAATCTTTTTCAGAGAATTTGGCTTAAAGGAAAATAGCTGGAGGGGTCTTTAAATTTTAATAAGGAACATTTTTAGGTGGAAAGGACATATATTTAAATTTCATTGGGAGAAATTCATTTAAGAGGAAACTAGATCATGGATAACATTCATTTCTGAGAAAAGATGGAGAAGATGGCTCGTAAGCCATGAGGACAAGACAGTCTTGGTTGGTGGGAGGGAGAAAAGGCCAGGGAACAGGAGGAAGGTGGGTGTGCTGGTGTACTTGGTGGTAGGAGGGCAAGAGAGTTCTGTGTAATGGACTCAGTGTTCCCTGTGGAGTAGGAGGCAGGGTTGCAAGCCAAGAGTGAGGAAAGAGGTGGGAGAGTCAGAGGTTTAAGGAAAGCAGATTAAGACTGAAATGCGTTGCAGAGTTGATGAGGGTAAGTGGCATATTTGCTGAGCAATGTTGAGAGTCCATTTGAGAATTATTATGAACACATAGTGAAATTGATGTGCCCTAGGGTTGCACATTCTTGATAAAACTCTATAGTTTTGCCCTGCCTCAGAACAAGAGGAAGGTTGAGTCCATTCAGAATTCTTTTCCAGATGGATGTGATACAAAGACAGAATGACAAGAGTTTAGGGTTTGGAAAAGTATGTTATGGAATAATGAACATGAGGTCTTAGTTTGACAGGGAGGGAAAGAAGGGACCTATCTGATGGATAAATAGAGAATAAATGGATTTAATTCACTGGAGATAATAGTGACATTTGAAATCCATTCCTGGAGAAAATTGGAGGTGTGAGACCTGTGCATAAAATGAATCATGATAACTCACAAAGATAATATTCAAGGAAGGACCATGGTCTCCTTAGAGCAAGGAGAAATCTTGCGTTATCTGTTCATACAGTGTCACGTACAACAGATAAATATATGAGGCTGAACACACAGGTTTGAAACTAGTTATGCTTCTCAAATATGCCTTTTGGGAGATCTTACAGATTCTTTTTCACCTTCTAAACACTCTTCAGGTTTTTGGAAAAACTGAAGTGTAAACAGGATAGGAGAAAGATTAACCTGGATGACTAGATGTGAACTGCTTGAGAAAAGAATTAAACCTCACTTAACTTGGTAACCCAGTAGGATGTCTGGAATGATAATGAATTCAGGGGCTCAAAAATAGCTAGTCTGTTCTAGGTGTTTTCCATATGCTTTATTCTCATAATGTTATATCAGTGGATATCATTGCTTGAGAAAAGAATTAAACCTCACTTAACTTGGTAACCCAGTAGGATGTCTGGAATGATAATGAATTCAGGGGCTCAAAAATAGCTAGTCTGTTCTAGGTGTTTTCCATATGCTTTATTCTCATAATGTTATATCAGGGTGGATATCATCTCTCACATTTTATTGATAAAGAAAAAAAAAAGAAGCCAAGATAATTAAATAATTTATTCAGTCTTACAAAAGTTCAGAAACAAATCTGAAGTCCAGGCATTGGGCCTCACTAAATCTATAGTTACTTCCTTTCTTCTCTATAAATGTCTCTAAAAATGTTTGATGAATTCTGGAAAAAAAAATCATGATAACAACATTTTGGTGAATTTAGGACTAAATGGCCAATGGATTCTAGAGAAGATCACAAGGAGGAGCAGGCCAGAGTGTGGAATTGTTATCCATAGGAATGTGACAGTCACATGCAGGGTCCAAGGTTGTCTATAAATGAGGATGGGAGGAAGAGAGCAGCACTGTGGAGAGGAAAAGCCAGGAAAGCTAGTATACCTGGCCAAGGCTGTACGTTCAGCTGGCAAGGATCAAGGGTGTGCTTTGCTTGAAATGCCACAGCTTGTGATTCTTTTATCTCTAAATTTTGTCCCCTTTAAATTGTAAAGGTTCTGAGGAGGAGTAATACACCAAGCCCTGTGAATCATTTACTCCTTGGTATAAACGAATTTCTCAGTCATTTACATAGGAAACTTTTTGGCTAGGAGAAGTAAAAAGGCATATGGAGTGAGAGGAAAAGGCTAAGCCTAGAAAATGTCATCACAGTCAATCCTAGGAACCAAGACAGGGCAGTTGGCTCAGGAAGCCCATAAAGTTGTAATCAGGCAGGTGGAGTTCCATTGGCTCACAACAGGCCTTGTGAGAAAGCAGGGAGCTCCATGAGACTGTCTTCAAGGATTCCCAATTCCTTGGGCTAGACTTGTATAAAAGAGATCTGGGCAGACATCTGCATCCTGGACAACTAAAAACAAAACAAAACAAAACTATAGTCTGTCCCCAGAAGACCTTGCTAGGCTACTGGCTGCTGATCCCACAGCTATAGACATCCTAATTGGTAGGATCTTGATTCTAACATGTCTTCTTTCATAGGAAGCAGATCACATCTGCATGTTTTCTAGAGCAGCATATTTCATATTTATGAGGCCTATGTATCCATGTTTCTATCCATCCACCCATCCAGACAGCCAGCCATTCAGCCAGCCAACACCAAACATCAATTTCTATATGCGGGTCTTTTGTTAAGGAGTATGCAAAGATGAATGTATCATAATCCCAGTTTTCAAAGGGATAATCATCTGGGTAAGGGAGAAAGAGATGAATTAAACAATAATTAAAATGCCCTTTATAAATTCAATAGTATAGTAAGTCCTCAGCTTACTAATGAGTTTTGTTCAGGGAGAACATTTGTAAGTCAGATTTGTTTGTAAGGCTGACAGTGAGTCACACAGTAATTGTTGTACAAAATAGCTGAAGAACACAGCAAATAAACAAACTTTGTACATTTTTTTTTCTAAATTAGAATATGGGCAAACAAAAACATTGGTCATCAATATACTAATGCAACCAGTGACTGATAGAGAGGGAATAAAGGTATAGAACCCCTTCTAGGAATTACTAAACATAAAGAAGTTTTCGAAAGGTTCTAGCATCTGAAAGATTGCCTGGATGGTAGGTTGAAGATAGGTTTCACTGAGGCTTTGACATGAAGAGTATTCTATATTAGTAGCCAAAGCATTCTGTGAGTTGAGAACCTATACAATGAAGAGAATCCCAGCAAAATAATATAGTTGGGGTTTTCCCACTATTTGGGAGCTTGTTAAAATATCAAAATGATAAGAAAAGAATCTGAGTAATGTCTTGTACTCTCTGCCTTTAGGATTTTGAGTCTCAAGAAGGCCTGGAGTGCTAGAAGTTTCCCTGCCTGTGCCATTTGTGTTCTGTTTATAAGATCATAGTTTTTACCTTGATTAAGAAAGCAGGAATATGTGATTCACACCTTTAATAACTAAAGTAATTCACCCCCCCATTAATGCATTCCCTTCAACAACAGCTTCAAAGTTATTTCTAACACAATGCAACTCTCAATTATTCATAATTGAATATTTTTCCAGTTGTGGAAAGTGGATACATTTATAGTTTGGGAATGAAATTCTACATGGCTTGTCCTTGGCTTTATTTCAGACACATCTTCCCTACCATAAGAAGCCAGTACTGTTGAGTTGGCAACTGCCAAAGATTACATAGGAAAGCTTGGTTTGCGACCACATGGGTTCTGTGATGTCTCCTCTTCAGGTGCAAGTAGCTGATATCTTGGTGATATCATGATCCAGTCATGATTCTTCTATTAAAAAATCATTTTAAGGAATAATGACATGCATTATTTAACTTTACCCCATAGAAGGTGAACACATTAAGGTTTCCATAGGGCCTGGAAGGAAACAGAACAGGGGAGCATGAGTTGGTGCCTTTGAACGTGAGTCCCCATTAATTGCTGCTTGACCTCCGGTTTTCCTCTCATCCTCTCAGAATCTTTTAAACACTCCCTCCAGGTTCTGGTGTCCATGAGCCCCTCTGGCCAATGTTCTCTCTGGCTCAGCTTTTGCTTGGGATCTCTACTTCTCTGTCCTCTCTGAGCACCTTTAAGAGACCACTGACTTTTTGTTTCCTTTCC